AACGTACCGGGTAGTAACCACCACAAAATAACCACCAGTGTGTGCTTCGATCTACTGTCTTATTTCAAGATTCAAGACATTCGGATTAATAAATCAAGGCATAGATGTTTTTCCACAATGTGTTTAAATTAGGTTTGTTTGTGTGACACCTGTCGCATAATCCCAACAGACCTACATAAATAACGAACAATGAATCAAGACAGAAGTAAACACGAGGTGTTAATATAAACGTCGTTGAAAGAGCCCCGCCAGCGCCATTAATGCAGGTAATGGTCTAAGGGAGATAATCGTATTATGATATGGCAATAATAAATAAGAGTATGGTCCAATGTATGAGCTCCATACAGTGTGTCCACTTAAACTCCCCACAACGTGTGGAAATTTCCGAGTTCTTCAAGACTTTGTAACGTCGTAGATTGTAGACCTAGATAAGGTCCATCTGTCATTCTAATTTAAAAAAGAACATATTTAAGAAACTATCTAAACCTGTGTTGAAAGTTTTTCCTCTGTTCGTAAATTTACAATATTGTATCCGCTTCAATTTCGCCCGACTCCATGTCAGAAGATTCATAGTTATTTTAAAATTAAAGTAATTTTAGAACTCATTTGAACCGGTGTTTTATGACTTGAAATAGGTAAATGGTAAGAATGTTTTTAATTACAATGCGACTTTATGGTTCTGGTTTCGTTTTTATGTACATATGCTTTCCTCTTAGATCCTTGTCCACAATATGTTTAAATTTCGGTTTTCGTGTTCAGCTTGATCTCAATAAATTTAAATTGTCAAATATTTGGTATAGATCTTCAAAGCCTTGAATAGGCAACCAGCAAAAAGGAACCTTTTTGTCTCTTTTCCCCCGCTCGCCCTCACGCACCCCTTGGGAAAACCTTGGAGATGAGAAACACAACAATATGTAAGGACGCCCTCACTTCAAAGATGGCGCTTAGAAGCTTTAGTAACAAACAGTAAAACCTCGTTCGCGCAAAGTCGCGAGGATCATCGACAAAATGTCAAGATCCTTATTTCAGCGACCATATTGTCGATACCACTTCTACCATATAGTTACATCGTCTTTATATATCAAATTCATAGAGTTCAGGAATGAGTGTTTAACGCTGCTTTGAACAGTATTCCAGTTATATCACCACGTGGCTGCTTATGTGGGAGGAGAGCCCGAAGTGATGTTGGTAGAAGTTTATCACTTTGGTGAAATGATGACAGAAATATGGTGATAAACCAACAATGATACTCAGGACGAATCTGGTATTCGAAATCACTTCTATCGACTAAGGGACGCACTTCACTGAGGCGACTTACATACAATAATATTAACGTACCTGTTATAAAGGAGAAATCATAGCCGTTGTTAAACGTAACATAACCATTAGAGTACCACGTGACGGTTGTGAAGGTGCCACTCTCAGAAGAAATATGCACGTTCAACGTGGTGGATCCTCCTCGTCTAACAGATGTTGTTTTGTAGTCCGTATTGGCAACGTCCGTCCACGTCAAAGTCCTGTTCGTCTCCGGGAACGTCCTCAGCGAGACATCTGTATCCCTGTGAGCCATGATGCTTATGGTGATGTCACTGGCGAGCCACGAGGTTGTCATGGATTTGAAGTAAGACTCTGCTGAAGGGATTACGACATTGCTTGTTCCATACCATTGGCAGACTGTCGTCATCACTAGGTGTGATGTGTTGAAGGCAATGGCAAACCTCGGTAAACGTTATCGCGGTCCAGTGACTTCACGGTGTTGTTGTTGAACGTCATCCCGGTCCAGCTCGGTCCCAGCGTTGTCTCCAAACACGTACAGGATTTTGAACCAAGTATACAAAGTTGGAATGACGAACTCTTTCCCACAGAGGTTCGTAGGGGTCATTTGGTCAAAGGCAATGACATTCCGTAAAATAATAAAACAACCTTTATGAGCGTATCGTACAATATAGAACGTGCTGATTCATTATCAAAACTTAGATATAACCTATATATTTCTAATACTTTTGCCTGACCTTTCTGTTCATTAGGATGTTTATCTTTCTTCTTTCGCTTTATGCGTGTGTAGTGTGTAAGTTTTAACATATTTTCCCATTGCCTATTGAACATACACAGCACACGCACTTCGCAGTCCGACAGCCTGTCCAGACTCGACTGTTTGCAGACCTCAGGGATGTGAAATCTCCGCGGAAACGCGGAAAATCGCGTTTTTTAAAACAGTAGTCCTCGGGAAAAAATCATCTTCCGCGTAAAAATTTAATTAAAAAATTAAAAAAAAACACTCCGAAAAATATGATCGAAAACCGGACATTTGGCGCGGATTGTCCTGTTTTCGATCAGGGCTTTCACCAGCATAGGTTTTCGGACATCATACGTTTTCTGTCACGAATACTTGCACTATAACGTGGGGTGTGGCGTCACACAGAAATTGTAAATACTCAGAGTCAGCTGATGGCTTGTTTTTAAGATAAAGTTGTCTTTTAGCCTGTAAGTGAATGAGATGTTTTACAGTTGTTCATGTGACCTTCGTCATTGGACAACACAAAAACCCCTACATTTGTATTCAAATGGTGTGAGTGGCGGGTGATCCATACATATTATTTTCAGCACTAGTTTGCCTTCTACGCCGAATGGTATCTGTTTCGGCAGATAATCAAGACTAGTTATTCTCTGGCGATAATATTAGATATTCTACATCAATGTCAATTGAAAAAATACCCATTTACAATATGAAATAATAACTTTAGGGGGGAGAAATGTTTACTAGATTTTCAAAATATCAAAGCAAAAACCTCACAAACATTGCAGGAAATAACACCAAGTCACTTGTGCAATGACTGTCACCACGACAAGGGTCGCTCGAGATTTCATACTTGTCCCTTCTGGTATCGGACAGATCTCGCTGCCTAGCTCTGGTGGGATTGCGATGAACCAGTATATGTCTAGCTTTAATACCCGACTGAGAATAGCTCTGAAAAGGGCGTTGGAACATTGTGTTAATAAGACGCCTGTATTTTACAAGTTACAGGACATCGTGACATGTATACAATACTCAACAGACCCCGTAGACCCGTTTCACTTTCCGTCACATTCACGACTGAGTATGGCTCTGAAAAGGGCGTTGGCACATTCTGTTAATAAGACGCCTGTATTTTACAAGCATAGACACTTCGTGACTAGTAAACAATACTCAGCAGACTTGGTAGACCCTTTTCACTCTCCGTCACAATTATGTGAACCTGAGAGGTTCAGGAATACACGTTTCTCTTGTTGTAATTGCGTATCAATACCTGCAAAGCCTTGACCTCCTTTAGCCTGAAATGTGTGTTATATGGCCCGTGGGACTGATTATTAACGGTAATACGGATAAATATTGATGTAAATGAAAATCGTCAATATTTTATCAGATCATTGACTACTAGCTATTGCGTTAATCATAGTGTCGGCTCCGGGAATAAAAGAGGGGAATATCAAACAATCATACAAACTGAGCTGAGGGCACCACAGACTGAAGTACATGCAACTTAAAAATTATTTCATATCGATGTGCCAAGGCGTGTGGGGAGACATGAAAGTCAACGTGGTATTGGACAGCGACTTCATATAATTGGATAGATCCTCAAGTAAAGCGAACTATTAAATTCTGCGTTGCTGGTCACAATGCATGGTACTTTCTTAAGGGTTAATATACAGCTAAGGGTTAATATACAGCTTTCATATCCAGTGCGTGTTATGTTATTATATGAGAGATTAGGGGCAGTTGCATGAAAGCGAGTGAGTAAGTTTGGTTAAACGCCGCTTTTAACATTATATCACGGCGTGTCAGCTTAATGTGGGAGGAAAGCCCGATGTGATGCAGGTCTCGGACGTTTACCACTTCGGTGAAACCCACGAGCACAGGTATGGTGCTGACAGACCTAGAAACATGATTGGAGCGAACGGGGATTCGAACCCACAATCAAAGGTTTCTGGTGTGCCCCAGGGACGCAACTCTGCACAGTGAATCGCGGTGCCTTAGCCGACTGGGCCCCCGACAGTATTGTGAGCAGTGTGAGTGAGTGAGTGAGTGAATTTGGTTTAACACCGCTTTAAACCATATTTTAGTTATATATAGAGAATCTCACCCTCGTGTCTTTTGATATCAAATATATCAACGAGTGTTGATATATTTGATATCAAAAGACACGAGGGTGAGATTATATTTATCATCCAACATCATTCTTCAAACGTTTTCAGTTTATAGAGAGTAATAAGCAGTGTCTAAGTGGTAAAAGTACTGCTTCAGTAGCAGAACCATTCGTGATATCATTTGATTGTGACGTCATGGTAACCAATGGAATCACAATAGTCTGCAAAGCATTGTGATGCAATTTCCTTGCAGTGATATCTTCAATGTAGATATCGCTTGATCTCACCCAAGCGATATCTTCTGTGGGAGCCATTTTGGGATGATAATACAGGGTGTCAGCTTAATGTGGGAGGGAAGCCCGAAGTGATAGCAAATCTTAGACGCATACCACTTATGTCAAGCACACAGGCATGGGTGTTGTGCTGACAAATTAGAAACATAAATAGGGAGTACCGGGAATCGAACCCATGACCTTTGGTGTCCGAGGGACGCAACACTGCACAACAATCTCATTAAAATCAGAACTTAAATCTGATTCAAATGAGATTGCTCTGCACAGCGACACGACTCGCCTGGAGATGCGTGCCCTGTATGATTGAGTGAGTATGGTTTTGCTCCGATGTTAGCAATATTCCAGCTACGTAACGACGGAAGACACAAGAAATAGGCCCCAAACACTGTACCCATGTGGGGAATCGCACACTGGCATTTGGCGTGATGATCGAACGTTTTAACCACCACGCGACACCACCGCTCCTGAATATAATGAGACTTCACACATACACAACAATATGGTGTCAAGTGAACAATGCCATTTATTTCGATGGAATAACTTAGTTTTAAACAAAACGTTGAAACTCAACACGTCATTTGGGCACGGAACACTAAACTACACTAAATCAAAGAAATCTGTCGGAGGGGTATGTCAAGGTCCGGATCGAGCTAGCATCGTCTACATCAGTGTTGCAGCAAGGAGAGACAGCACAAGGGAGGTCGTCGCGAGCACTTGGCCTGCACCGGAACCACCTGAAATGCAGAGAACTCACATGTAGTTATCAACAAATATATTGGATTTCGAGGTGATAATATGAATAATATACAACTTGTTTGGTTTCCCGTTAGTTTCCGGGGGCACGGATAGTCCCTGTGGTCTAACACGCCGTAATGTAGAATGTAGAATGTTGCGTCCAATCGCCATGTCAGTATCTTCTGATCGTGAGCTTATAGTCGTTAGAACCTTACCAATGATCTACCTGCAACATTTCGGTATCCCCCACTCCCACACATATACACCTTTTCAGCTGCCGCAACGTTATGCGTGTGAAAGTCAACTCTTTGTCTTACCTAATTCTTGCTGAAGCAGCCTGAAGACAACATTTGATTCCATGTATCTCCGAACTAAAATTATCCCGTTATTCAATAAACTAGTAAACGATGGTACTGTGCAATAGTCTAAAGCTAATAGCCGATCAAATCAGTCGCCTCTTACGACTATCGTGGGTTAGTGGGGACCTGATATATCCCTGAATCCTCATGGCGGCTTTTTAAGAGTGTATTCGATCATTATTAAAGAGCTATCAGAATTTATAATTTGATTATTTTCCTTTTAACTTATTTAACAGGCGAGGTGAAATGGGGTTTTACGTCGCGTCCAAGATTATTGCACTTTTATAGCGATGTGCATGCACGTGTGTGTGGCTGCATGTACTTATAGCGACGTGCATTCACGTGTGTGTGTGGCTGCATGTACTTATAGCGACGTACCTGCACGTGTGTGTGTGTCTGCATGTACTTATAGCGACGTGCATGCACGTGTGTGTGTGGCTGCATGTACTTATAGCGACGTGCATGCACGTGTGTGTGTGGCTGCATGTACTTGTCCGGACTGATCCCGATTTTATAGTGAGATACCATGCCACAGTTTAACATAAATACCCCACTCAGACGAAGTATACTGACTCCGAGCCGACCAGTCCCTTAACGCCTTTTTGGTATGACGCGGCCGGGGATCGAACCCCGGATAATGTCACGCTTCCCAAACAAACAATGAAAACACCTAAAGTTTATCAAGTGTACTTCGCAATAGAATGCTTCAGCAAGTAAAATTTTATAAACCGATATGACATATATTTATAACTGGCACTGTAAGAGCAATATTTTAACGCCGGTGTTTATTATAACAGAAGCTAGCAGTAGGATATTGCATAAGATGTTGCTGTTTTGCAAACATCCACCCAGTAATTTCTTAGAAGATATCAAAGAGCGTCACAAGAACAAAAATTATTTTTTTATCACGGTTACAATAATCAAGGCATCAGCAAAGCTTTCAAGCGTTTTATGAGAGCATTTCCAAATTTGATGCATCAGTCACAAAAATGATGTCCGATGCATTTCCCTATTTTGACCTGTACGATATGTTCCCGTTTGTTTCATGTGAACAATTGACTTGCCTTCCATGTGTTTGTGACGGGTGCCATCCATGGGGCAGGATACGCTCACCTTTCCGCGAACACTTGATATCATCACTGCTTGATAGTGATTCATAAACCCATGCTTATGATACAGTCGGAATAGTACAATGGGTTCGGTGCTTTTAGCAGGAATTTCGTATGGTTATGGATAGAAGTTTTGTCGCTTTTATTGTAAAATAACCAGCGTGTATATATACTGACATCATACAATGTACATATCGTTATACTTCTAATGTGTCAGTTGTGAGGTGTAGTGATTGTCTAAGTAGGCATTGGTACTGTTTGATCTTGATGAATAGTACCTTTAATCTAAGTAACACACTTACACTTGGTATCAACGAGGTCAGCTGTGCCTGTTGTTAAAAGAGCTGAGGGACTTTCATCTCCACATCCGTTTGTTGTTGCGGCTGCAAGGCATTGCAGGTAAGCAGCCATAGCTCTGAAAACGATTCACAACAGTTATGAACCTAATACAATAACACGGTATAAAGTATACACTTCGCGTCCTTTGCTCAATTAATACGAATGCAAACAATACCATGGAACTATTTTTACAAGTGATATTTCTGTTAACATTAATGCTCACATTGATATGCTCAGGGTAAGAAAGAAGATAAGGATTAAAATCAAGATGCTAAATAGTGAATAGCATATGTTTTAAGCCTTTTAAGCACAACTATTGAATTCAAAACGTCAATGCAAGAGTATAACCAGTCTTGATTATGCGCCGAAACAGATCACGTCAGGCGCACACACTTTGAGTTAACAGGCGCACACACTTTGAGTAAACAGGCGCACACACTTTGAGTAAACAGGCGCACACACTTTGGCGTCTATGTTCACGTGCACGTGCTGTTCCTGCATGATGCAACATCTCACTGTGATTAGATGTTGCGTTCAGGTGAAGCGCCACGGTGTGGATACATTAGTTGATAGCAATGTCATTTGTAGATATTTCCAAAAGATACATATACGTTCAGGATATATGAAATACAGAAGGATGGTGCTGAACTTTCCCCAAACGTATACTTTTGGTCAGAAGTTGGTAGATGCCTTACGTGCACTTTCCAGATGTAGATGTTTGATCTGTTCCCCAAAATGTCTTCTGGCATGAGCAAGCATCAAGAGTAGACAGGTCTCATGTCCACATATGAAAACAGATGGTTAAAATCAGGCCAGATCAGGCCATCCACGTATCCCTATGAGAGAACAGGACAGATTCATACCGCCACGTCACTTATGTGAAAGAACCACCACAACCTCCCCTACAACTACGGCAAAAACCAAGATTGCGTTGGATATCGGCCCAGACAGGGAGTGACCGTTTACGCGCTGAAGGTATTCGCGCTAGACGACCAGTTCGAGGTGTCATGTTGACGGACCTGCATTGTCCGCTGCGACGTCAATGGTGTCAAGGTCACAGGTAAAGGCCACAACTGCGATCGAGTTTGGTTTAGTGACGACTCAGTAACATCAGTGTGTAAAATTTCTTTTCTCTAACTTGAATAGCTTTTGAGAAAATTAGTCCCCTTTGAGAAGCGGACGGACGGACGGACGGACGGACGAACTCCGTTCCCATTTCACCGCGGGATAATAATTCTGATATTTAACTTGTAGGTACAAATGTTCTGTTGAAAAATATCATTTCATGTCCTGTTTAAAAAGGTCATTATTCACAAGGCGACGTAACCCAAAGTAGACTCTTAAAGCCCAAAATGTCTTAAATCTAAGTCATTTTCTGAAGTAAAATGTTGAATGTTGTATGTGAAACAAAGTGAAATCTACCAGTTAAAACAAACAGAAGGCTTGATTTTACATTTGCATAGATTTATTTCATCTTTCTTAGGTCATTTAAGGTATAATGTGTGTGGTCAGTTTCAGAAAGGGGTCAAGCAGGAAGATCAACTAGGGTTTCAAGTGCTAATAAAGTATTATAACTGATAATGAGTTTCTTCGAGACGTTGTTAGGAGTAGTGGTTTTCCACTACATAGAACAAGATGAGTGAGACAGTTTGGTTTAACGCCGCTGTGAATATATACTAGTCAAAAAGAAACTGTGGACATTGGAAATCAAAATATACTCTTCAAAAAGAATTTTGTGAGGTAGGAAAATACATTTATACGAGGAACCGTACAAGGTATTGAGCCAACATGTTGTGGAGAAACACTTGGTGACTGTGGTCATCTCAGTTAACGGTACATAGGAAAAGTCCAAGGTGAAGGTCAGCTACCATCAATAACGCGTAAGCCCCCCGTTGGAATCGATAGCGGCCTGACATCACCTGCCCATGCGAATCACATCCTGGGGAATGGTAACGCAAAAGCCAATTGCTGCAACGTCTGGGGTCGTGGTTGACGTCGGCGTAGCCGTCTATCCAATTCACCCCACAGGTGCTCTATCGGGTTCAAATCCGGGGATCTGGAGGGCCAGGGGAGAACATCAACGTTGTTGTTGTGTAGACAGGCTCTTGTGATCCATGCTGTATGCGGTCGAGCGTTATCCTGCTGGAATACACCATATCCGTTGGCTGCACGCGACCCCCACCAAACCTGTCCACTTCCTGTACGCAATTTCCGGCGTAACGCTCTCCCTGACGTTTGTAGACCCGTGCTCTTCCATCCCCTCGACGGAGGAGAAATCTTGATTCGTCGCTAAACCAGACATTTCTCCATCGCAGTTGAGACCATACCCCGTGTTGCAGTCGTTGTTGACGATGTTGTCGACTCAATATGACGCGTCGAACAGGACGTCTTGCTCGTAGACCTGCTGCTCTTAAAGCCCCACCCTGAAATAGCCCGCAAGGTGGCGGTGATTCAGTTTCGAACAATGACTGACAATGTAAACACAACCGAGTGTCGGGAGAAGTTTTTTGAAAACCATACGGGAACCAGATCACCATTGACCGTCAAACTTCGTATCAACTTGAATGACAAACCTTGGATACCACAAATTGCTCCATATCTAGATATAAGTCAATAAATTTTCTGTAGTTTTATCATACAAAATCGAATCGATCGTGTTTGGCATCTGCATCAATCACGGTGGGCGGAGCTTATTTACGGTTGCGCTATAACTAGCAAAGCACATGGTCATGTGCATAGGTGACACATTCAATGTATTTGTGGTCAAAGTGTATTGTTTTGCATATTTTTACAGCAGAACAGCAGAACAACAGTTTCGGTTAAGGTAAAGGTAACACTACATAAAGACGAAATTGACGACAAGATTCTTTCAGTTCAATCCAAAAATTACAGATATTTGTTTAATTTTGGTCCTTTGGATTCAAAAGTTAGATCTATACCACACAATAATCAGATCATATCTATAAACATAAATTTTTACACAGATTTTTCAACGAGTGTTTAGGAATGGGCCTAATTTGAAGCACCAGAAGTTGCTCCAATATTTCTTAGCTTGACTACAATATATGAGTGAGTGAGTTTTTGCAAATATTCCAGCAATATCACGGCGGGGGTCACCAGAAGTTGGCTTCACACATTGTACCTATGTCTGGAATCAAACCCGGGTCTTCGGCGTGACGAGCTAACGCTATAAACACTAGGCTACCCGACCGCCCCCTACAATATATGAATATGTCACGTGTATTCAACTTAACAATGCACATTAGGAACTAGTAAACAAGTAACGAAATATACTTGATGTTTTGACCTAAATTAGGTTGGTTGGTTGTTTAACGCCGCACTCAGCAATATTCCGACTATATGACGGCGGTCTGTAAATAATCGAGTCTGGACCAGACAGTCCAATGATTAATATCATGAGCATCAATCCACGCATTTGGGATCGATGACATGCATCAACCAAGTCAGCGAGCCTGACCACCCGATCCCGTTAGTCGCCTTTTACGACAAGTATAGTCACCTTTTACAGCAAGCATGGGTTGCTAAAGACCTATTCTACCCCGGAATCTTCACGGGTCACCTACATTAGGCCTAGATAACATTGTACTTACGATAAACGAAAACTCCAAAACACATATCCAAGACAACTTTAATAATGGATTTCCTTTTCTTTCACAGAATTTTCACACAGAAAACTGAGTTTGCTCATTAGATCCACACTTGTCCCATGTATTTTTTGTTCGGGGGATTTGGATACACTTCGCGCACAAGTTTTAAAATACAATCAGGGATCCCTTTCCCGTTTTGTCCACACCAATGCTTCGTTTGCTGCAACGTTTAATGTCCGTTTTTTTCAAGTCCGAGTATATAGGATCTCTCCCAAAACATCGTCTATTTCGCTCAGTCCAGAAGAATTTCTGTTTTCGAGTTAACGAATTTCTGTAACATGGTGGCCGCACCATTCTCTAACTGCGAATGTCTGTGCTGTGTCACGCATGGTTGACAAAAGAAGTGTGAGCATACATATTCGGCTTCATCTGGTACCACAATGAAATCTCGCTGTGACACTGATTCACTAATCCCAAGAATCGGCACTGAATTTGTCACAGTTTCTATTGCACTCGCAAGGGCGGGAAGAGAGGCGCCATCTTGTCGATTCGAGTTGACGGTCGGAATGTCATCATCTTTTGAATTGGAACTTTATCCACGATAAAGACACCAATGTCATAATCGAAATAACCAAATGCTCCCTGATCATCTCGAACATTTCTCCGTCAAATTAAGCGTCACATGAAAATGTTTTGTTGCTCATATTGAAGACAAGCGAACTTGCAAAGTTCTTGACAGTTGTAAGCGGATGCGCTCATGGGGCATGGTTGCTAGAAGATCGCGTGGTCAAAAAGGGGGAAAACAAAAAGGTTTAGAAAGTAATAAAATAAATCCGCAGTGCAATAAAAAAGAACCATGTACAGGATGTGTTTTAATAAAAGTATTCACGATAACATTTCTTTTATAAAATTGCAAATTAATTTATTATTTCATGCCAAGGTAGTAACCCTGATCACGTGGTGGGTATTTGGAAGGAATCTTGTGATGACGCCGTGAATGAGGCCGTGGGTATTACATTGTTGAATTCAACTGACCAGGAAGATTGTCGAGGCATTGACGTTATGACAGATGCTCGTCATGGATGGAGAAATAATGCATCTGAGAGAAACATTGTTGCTTTGAGCTTCGAGGCAAAACATGTGTTCTTGCCGAAGTAGTTTACAAGAGAGGATGATCTGTGTAGCCAGCGACCCGAATAATATGTATTATATAATGTTGAAATCCGTTTTCACGCACATGACAGAATTAATGTGAACAAATATTTATCTGAACATCGTTTCGAAGTATGCGAGGCTGTCCGTATTTTATTATTTTTTATCTCCATTGCGATGATTCTCACTCAATTACACAGACGTCAACGTCAATTGTGGGCACAGCGACACTTACGATGGACTCAGAGGAATTGGAATCAAGTCGTCTTTAGTGATGAATCCCGATTTAATCTTCGATTTGCCGATGGTAGGGCGAGGGTGTGGAGGCGCCGTCATGAACGTTACGCCCAGTGTTGTGTACAGGACGTTTACAGATTTCAAGGTGGAAGTGTCATGGTGTGGGGTGCTTTCTGTGGCAATGCACGTTCCAGGCTTCTTGTCATCCGTGGCAACCTCAACGCTGCTGCTTACCGCGACCAGGTACTGGCACTAGAACTTCTGCCTTTTATGGCAGCACATGGACCCGGTTTGATCTTCCAACACGACAATGCCAGACCCCACACAGCAATTTTGACAAGGAATTTCCTTCAGAATGCGGGAATCAACGTCATGGACTGGCCGTCAAGGTCCCCCGACCTCAATCCCATCGGACACGTCTGGGATGCTCTTGGCAGTCTCCAGAACCAACCACAGAATTTGCAAGATCTTGGCACCATTTTGCAGCAACAATGGCGTCGTATTCCCAATCATGTGTTCACAAACATCACAAGGTCCATGCGGAGGCGTTGTGTGGCAGTTGTCAACGCACATGGTGGCCATACACGCTACTGAACTTGTGTGACATCAGATTCTCGTGCTTGGGACTTATGATTTAAACTGTTGATGTTATTACCGAATACCGTAGGTGCTTGGAACAAATTATGGTTAATTAAAATCCTTCTTTTGACATTAATGATTAAAAATTACCTTCTCTGATACATTTGTCCATTGAATATCATATATGGGATTACTTTTAAAAATGTGAAGTTTTTAAATTTGGTATATTTAATTTTACATAATCCTTAATAAAGTCAAGAAAGGACTTTCTTTAAATTCACAGAATGTGTGAAAAACCAGCGTTATCACCAATTGTGCTCACCTTTTTGCTGCACAATTTCTTTATGCATATGAATAGGATTTTCTGCTTGGGTTAGCAAAGGCGAAACGAGGTAATTTGGCCGAAAAGTTCAACTTACATGAAGTATATCGATTATGTGCCACCTGAGCTATAAATAAAGGAGACCAGTTAGACCTCCTCGTCAAAAAGATAAAGATGCATAAAGATTTGGCATGACAAAACACTCTCCACGACACTGTATGACAAGAGGGATGACTTCAACTTTCCAATAGTCAACTTTCCCTTCATGTCGAACAATATTCCAGCTGCTCCAGCCTTTAGTGTCCACATTTCACAACTTTTGGGGGACAAACGGGCATGTTCTGTCTACAAGGATTTCTAAAAGCATCATACGACTGTTGCTCAGAGGTTGTTTGATCAGGATTACAACATTCAAGGCCTGAGTAAAGCTTTCAAACGTTTTATGGTAGACATGTGGAGGACATTTCCAAATATGACGCAATCGTGACAAAAATGATGTCCGATGCAATATCCTATTTTGACTTGTAGCGATAATATCACATATTGTATAGCTTTCATGTGCTATTGATACAACAAATACACTCTGATCATATCAGCTTGTAATATACTTAACGTTGAATTATGATGATATGGACTTAAATGGACCAGTCCTTTCAGGGTAGATTGGAGCCGCTTTGGGAACAATAACCCGACTGTTGTCCTTTTCCATGTACTTTGTATACATGTTCTGAAAGCGCCAGTGACCAGACTAATGGAGAAATAAGAAACAGAAATATATTGCTTTTTATTTATATTCGGTTTGGAATGTTTGTTGTTTATGCGGCCTGTAAAAAGTCGAGACAATCTACTTGAAGTACTAGACATTATGAGCAACGATCCATGCTTTCGGCGTACGACAACAGTGACTTAAACAACCAAGTCACAGAGCCTGACGGGGGCACGGGTGGCGCAGCCGTCTAAGGCGCCGCAATTCGCTGTGCAGAGTTGCCTCCCTTGGACACGCCCGAAACCTATGATTGTGGGTTCGCCCCGATTATGTTTCTAGCTTTGTCAGCACCATACCCCTGCTCGTGGGTTTCACCGGAGTGGTAAACGTATATGACCTGCATCACTTTGGGCTTTCCTCCCACATTAAGCTGACACGCCGTGATGTGACTGGAATACTGTTAAATGCGGCGTTAACCCCAACTATCTCACTCACTCACAGAGTGAGATCCATAAACACATATTTGTCGGGGGAGATTTATATTCATAAAAATCAAACATTGTCCAGACATAAACGCTATCAGAGCGTGAATGTGCTTCTGTTTAATTCTTTATATCAAAGCACTGTGCCCACGCAGTCCAACAACAACGAAGCTTTGAGAATGAATAATGATACATGTATTAGAGACCACATATGTGAGTTTGCCAAGTGTGTGCACTGGGCAGGCCGTTTGCGAAATGCGTATTGTCCTCTTTAGAATGTGTACTCTTGGTAAATATCTCTTTGCCTCCACACATGATATACATTTTGTGGCGAATTCTAAAGCTGTATACCCCTCTAGTACAATGCATATCCACACTCTTGACTCGTTTCACAACTGTCATTCCACATGTAGTGTATATTAAAATGCCGTATATTCAATGACACGAACCCAATTAATGAGGCGCAGTAATGCAAGAATTGGAAATCAAATGTGTATGGAATACTGTAAGGGACACTGTCACATCCTCGCGATCGCGACCTTTTGTAAGCAGTTAACATCGACAAAAGTGCGACAACGTGAGAACGCGACATAAACATGTCCTTAAAAGTGATAAATAATATCTGATTGACCAGTGGGATTCGAGAACTTTTTCATAGATAGATAGATAGATAGATAGATAGATTTAAGGCCACATTGCCCATTATACAGTTGACATTTTCAGTTTCATTAATTTAGTCTCGTGATATACATGATATGTAAAAACTATCTGAAAGAGAATATATGTTTCAAGAATATGACTAATGAACGTATAACAGCAGAGTTGCTGGATTTTATGAGATTGATAATTAACATCCTGTTTTTATGCCTATTGTTAAACATCGGAATATACTTTTCTCTAAGATGTTCATATTTATCACATACCAGTGTAATAAAACATGGAATTCATCCTAAATTTCTCTTAATTGGCAGGTTTTTTTACACATACCCATTTCAACGTCCCTTTCACACATCTACGTCCAAAGTTTACACTGAAATTGTGTAATGACACTCTGAATTTACATAATGCCCTAACACGCGATTTATCATCTGGCATACTTATATACTTCTCTGGTTCTATTGCAGACTTGGTATACTATCATGCAAGTTTTGACTATACGTATCCTGTAACCTTTGTTTAAAAGCGTATAAGAACAAATGTGTATCCCCTACATCTTGGATATTCTCACAAAGGAATAGCCACATGAAAATAATAAAAGATCTGACATTGGACACCCCATTCGTTTTGCCTTTGTCATCAAGAGCTTTAAGTAGTTTATAACATATGTAAAGATATCTTTGCGGCTCCATCCTCAGTAATTTTAACCAATATTTTGTCATTCGAAGTTGACTTAATACATGAATGGGATAACGTCCTGTTTCACCTGAAATAGCGTTGCTGGAAGCATAGTTTCCAACCAGTAAAAAGCGCTTAAAGTAGGAAGCATGTACTTTTTCAATAACGTCATATATTTTGCGCCCAATATTTCTGCTCTATATAGCAAGATTGGCGCGACTTTGCCATCATATATAGTACAAGCTGAAAAAAAGGACACATGTATATTTTGCTTGAAAAAATTATAGATAGGTATAATTGCTTTTGATGCTTGCGATGCTAGTTGTTTCACGCAACTGACCATGATAGTTTAGATGAAAGCATCAAGCCTAAATATTTATAATAAGTAACAATATAAAGGCGATATTACCATATGTCCATTTTTAAATTTTGGCAATGATACCTCCATTTCTAAAAACAATGACATCTGTTTTTGACAAATTAACTTCCAATCCCCATCTACTGCAAAAAGAATGTAATACATTCAGTTGTTTCTGTAGACTATTAACAGAGTATGAAAACATTATAATATCATCAGCAAATAGAAGTAACATTAAATCTCTTATATCTTGTGTGACAAACACACCATGATGGCATTCGTTATACATTTCTGTCACGAGCTCATTAATGAAAGGGGCGGTCGGGTAGCCTAGTGGTTAAAGCGTTCGCTCGTCACGCCGAAGACCCGGGTTCGAATCCCGACATGGGTACAATGTGTGAAGCCCATTTCTGGTGTCCCCCGCCGTGATATTGCTGGAATATTGTTAAAAGCGGCGTAAAACCATACTCACTCACTCACTCACTCATTAATGAAAAAAAAAATGAAAAAACTGGACTTAATATACATCCCTGGCGTACACCACTAGATGTTAAGAAGCACTGTGTTCTACCAGTAAGCCTTTACCCATGAATACATATTCTTAAGAACTAGGAAACATTTCCCATGACATCCTTTGGTAAGAAGTAAATATAACATTTTTTCTCTATCCACACAATCGAAAGTTTTTTTAAATCTACAAATGCACAATAAAAGCGACCACTAGGTTTACATAAATATTTGAATGATAAAGCTTGCAATAAAAATAGATTGTCAACCGTTGAATAGTTTGGGCGAAAACCAGCCTGAGATTCAGATAGAAGATTATTCACGCTTTTCCAACCAAACTCTAAGACGGTTTTCTATAATAAAAGTAAAGAGTTTTCCCGTTACATTTAAAACAGAAATATCCCTGTAATTTCTGGGCTCAGACCTTGTACCCGATTTGCACAATGGTAATATCCAGCTCTTGTGGTCAGTCATCCCATGCCATGATTTTTGCCATTTGTCATGGTTCAGAAATAGGCCTAGGGGTGTGCTTAACTTTTTTCTTTGTGTATATATTGAATAGCTTTATTGTGTTGTTTTATTTGTTGTTTAATGCCGGAATCAGAAATATTCCAGTTAAATGGCGGCAGCAAATAGTCGAGTCTTGACCAGACAATCCAGTGATTGATATCATGAGCATCGATCTATATATCACCAAATCTGAGAGGGTGACCACAGAACCCTTTGTCGCTTCTTGGTATATTGCCATATATGAAGTAATTATAAGTAGTTTAAAGATAATTTACAATGTATATTTAATATATTTAAGAACTGACTTTCACTTATTGTGACTTCATTGAAGCGTGAACCTTTATAGAGTGAGGGCCAAACTGTATGAACGTCGGAACTTACGAAACATACAATGGTCGGTGTTGATAACTGCGATGAAGGGAAAGAGGATGGAGTAGGAAGAATACCTTCTCGGAAAGTGAGGTTTGTTTGTTTCTTGTTTAACGCCGCACTCAGCAAATATTCCAGCTATATGACGGCGGTCTGTAAATAATCGAATCAGGACCAGACAACCCAGGAATTGATATCATGAGCATCGATCCACGCCATTGGGATCGATGACATGCATCAACCAAGTCAGCAAGCCTTATGCTCAGATCCCTCTTACGACAAGCATAGTCGCCTTTTACGGCAAGTATGGGTTGATGAAGGCCTATTCTACCCCGGATCTTCACGGGTCCAGAAAGTACGGTGAACATGGGCATTGGTCGCATACTGAAATACGAGTAAACACCTCAAGGAGACACTGCACATTTTAGATGTTTTAGAGTTTAATTTGACAGGTCGAGAATGCCATGGAAAAAAAACTATAGGTGGACATTCGCGACTGTTTTCAAAATGTCGAAATCACAAGAGCACGACAATTTCCCTTACAGTATTCCGTACGTATGCGTGTCTTGAGTGAAAGCAATATTATTGTTCTCTTAGGCCGAAAAGCGATACAGGGTACATGCACACTGTTACTTCTATACACTCCGTCATGGGAGGTTACATTGTATCAACTGTGGTGATTTTCGCCGTTGCTGGTGAGTTTGCTTGATGTATTTTATTACATTAAAACATTCAATTTAGTTAATTAGAAATTAGAAATGCACGGAAGATCATAGCGGCGAGACTTGGACCAGCTATATACAAAACTGTAAAACTATGGTTGGAGTGTGCGCTCAGATTACTTTCATCATTGCGGATGAAGAATATTCTCTAAGAGTATTATTATGATACCAGACTAAGTATATTTCTATCATACTTCTGTTACCTGAACATAATTTTATAAATATATATTTAATTTCTAATATCTCATCGAAGTACTTTATCATCGCCCATACAAGTACGTTACATGTAATCCAAAGTATATCGTATTTGTTTTATTTTGTGGTTTGTTGATGTTTCTTTTAACGCCGCCACGGAATTGAGATACGATGTTATGCTATCAACCGAGCCCGACCACCTGTGTCATTCAGTCGTTTCTTACGACAAGCATCGCTTTCTGAGCACCTTCATGTATATTCTTACCCGGATACTACCGGATACTACCTGTATACAGAGTAATCGGATAACTTGACTGAAATACAAAGCGTCGTTAAATATAGCCCACTCAATGCTTCTACTTTAATCTGCTTTTTTGGTTTAACTATATTATGGTTGTCACTAAATGAATAATAATTATTTTGGACCACATCTAATATACTGTGCTTTTTCATGTCTTGTGAGATATAATGTGTTTGTTGTGTTTCGTTGAGATTACCTTGTCATGTTTTCGTTGACTGATTCCAGTTACACAGGTTTCATGCGGAGGTGGTAATCCTGGTGATTATTGTACTTTGGGACACGGGTGTGTCAATGGTGGTACCTGTGATCCCACAGCAAACGGCGGTTTTGGAAGGTGTGCGTGTCCAACAGGTTATTCAGGTCGCAGATGCCAGACAGGTAATACGTGTGTTTGGTTGTTACTTACTTATATTCCAGCTTTTACAGTAAACTACGTTAATATCGAACACGCTTATAACGAACTGACGGATATAACGTACTGTTTCATTTTGTCCCCGGCATTTGCTGTATATAACCTGTATGTATGCTTATAATGAACTACGGTTATAACGAACTAAAATTAGTGGTCCCTTTGAGGTCGTTATAACCGTAGTTTACTGTAATTGAGTCTGGACCAGGCAAAACCTGTGATTGGTATTGTGAGCAACGATACACGATGTAGGGTACAATGACACTCTGTTAACCATGATATCGAGGCTGACCACCCGATTAGTTGAGTGGCCTCTTACGTTGATCACGACCTCTTTTAACCCTGAATCTCGAGGGGTAGTAATAAGTAAGGGGTGGTCGGGTAGCCTAGTGGTTAAAGCGTTCGCTCGTCAAGCCGAAGACCCGGGTTCGATTCCCAACATGGGCACAATGTGTGAAGCCCATTTCTGGTGTCCCCCGCCGTGATATTGCTGGAATGTTGCTTAAAGCGGCGTAAAATCACACTCACTCACTCACACTAGTAATAAGTAAAGATATGAATAGAGCATATATGTTGATAAAATTCGTTTGAAACGTTTCGTAATTTAGTTAACAAAGTACTCTTGAAACAATTCTTTTTAAAATACGATCATTAGGGTTTGGGATAGCGGTGATAATGTTGAGGTATAATTATCGTGACAGTTCAAACTGAAACAGCTCGTGCTAAAGCTACTAACCCTCTGAATATTCCCTTTACACTTTACCAACCCATCTATTTTCGAAGCTATTTAATTACCTGACGAGCTGTCCTATCTTTGTCTTGCCACAGAGTGGAGCTGGCATGAGTTTCGGGTCGGTTCATTTATATGATTCTATTGTAAATTTTTAAAGGACTAACGTATGAAAGATCAATTCTTCAGCAAAACGCTCCGAAGTCACATTAGTACTGATAATGTCATCAATTTGTGGCGTCACGATAAAAGTTTAGCCATATCGTAACCTTCTCGATAATGAATAATTACTGAGTGAGTGAGTTGGGTTTAACGCCGTTTTTAACAGTATTACAGTTATAGCACGGCGTGTCAGCTTAATGTGGGAGGAAAGCCCGAAGTGATGCAGGTATCAGACGTTTACCACGTTGGTGAAACCCACGAGCACGGGTATGGTGCTGACAAACCTAGACACTTAATCGGGGCGAACTGGGATTCGAACCCACAATCATAGGTTTCTGGCGTGCCCAAGGGACGCAACTCTGCACAGCGAATCGCGGCGCCTTAGACGACTGGGCCACCCGTGCCCACCAATGAATAATTAGAGGTTTTTATGTAGCAGCCACAACCGGATCAAACCGCAACCCCTTACCAGCCCGATGACCTTGAGCTTCACCTCACCTTCGGCCATCGGGCTGATATGGGGGGTTAAGGGTTGATTTGTGATATGATATCAAAACGGCCATTTAATAACCTTTTTATCATATACCACAACATGAAATTGAAAAATCTATCTATTTGGAAAGTGAATGCAATACTTTTTCACGTTTTCTGTGAGACATTGTGATGGGAAAGCTAGTCGAGCAGACGATGCACTGAGGTACGTCAATCCAATTTCCTACCAACCAGGCTGATATCCATCGCCCTTTTAGAATGATTCCTGACAAGCCATATCAGACCGGCAGGGGATGTTATAGTACTGTGTCTGGTTATTACACCCCCCTGCGATATGACCGTCGCTATTTTGGCTTTATCGCACATGCAAAATGCCTCATATAATTTATTATGATAATATGATTTATCCTATGTCTATCAGTGATGTTAACATATATCTGCAACTTGTCTAATGTGTTTCGTTTCTCTCTCTCTCTAATTTTTCTGATAGCGTGCAGCTCGAACACGGACTGTCAGAACCAAGGCACCTGTTCATCGGGACTCGAATGTCAGTGTCCAAGCGGATATTCAGGTGGAAAGTGTGGTAGGTAAAATGTGTAATTTTGCTAATGCTATTTCTCCGTTTAAGACTTGTGTATCGAATATTTGATTTTCGTACTATGAAACAAACTAACCAAGATGTATAAAGTAAAATATCCCACTCAAACTATATACACATAATCCAAGCTTTCGTATAAAAACATTACTCACATAAACTCTGCCAAAAAAAGAAACACAAAGTGATTTTAGATGTATATTTTATATATCTGTAAATAACAACGGATGGTAATGGATTTGTATGACTTGCCACAATATCATTGACCCAGGTTCCATATGGCACACACAGAACAGTAGATTTTCAAGATGAAGGTCAAATGTTCTCAATATCTTGTATGGCCACTATTAGAGTCCAAGACGGACAGGCATCGTCGTCCCATGGAAGCAATCAGGTCCCGAATTGTGGCCCGGGGAATGAGGTCGGACGTTGTCTTGGTGGAAAATGACGTTCGCGTGTTGCATAATGCGAAGGAGGTGTGGCCGAAGAATCCCATCCGTGTTACGTTGTTCCGTTAAATTCCCCAGAGCGTGGACCTAGTCTTTTCTACCAGTGTCGGAGATTGCAGCCCCTATCATCACACTACCACCACCAAATCTGTCCACTTCCTGTATGCAGTTTCGTGCATAATGTTCCCCGTGACGATTGTAAACACGACGTCTACCATCAGCACGGTGACTCGTCACTGAACCAAAATTGATGGCAGTTGAGGCCACACTCTGTGACCTTGACACAACTGATGTCGCATTCGACGATGCAGATAAAAATCATATCCCGAAATGATCATTTGGCGCGTAAATGGTTCCTCTCTACGCAATGCCGATATTGCCGTAGTTGTAGTGGTAACAGTGCTGGTTCTTTCACGTAAGTTACGTAGCCGCATGAATCTGTCCTGTGGTACGCGGTCGACCGGATCTGGGAAGGTCTCGTGTTGTCCCGTGTGTCTGACAACAGTACCACAGTCTTGAAATGCTGCTCGGTGCGACGTGGAAAAACCTGGCTACAGCTGAATATGGTTCCCCTATTTGCAGTCGGCCGATGGCGTTGTTGCTTTGGGTTTAATTCAGTTGAGGCTTGTTTTCACTTGCTGTAAGATTGTGATGACAAGCAAATGAAAACCCAACGTTTTTTATAGCCTAACAAGTAATGTTACAGATGCATGTCATGTTGGTGTGTTTCGGTTCTTACGTGGATGTGTTTTTGCGATTTTCTTTTCTTCTCACCAAATTTCTGCAGTACCTAATTATTTCCACACAAATCAATCCCAATCCATGCAGAAATGACCAATTCATTTTTGGTATTTCTGCATGGATGGATGTCGGCCACACTCTGTCAGAGGTTTACCGCTTTGGCGTGACGATACCAGGTGGAAATGTACTCCACATGTCTACAATATTTTGTTTTGAAAGCTTTACTGGGGCCTTGAATGTCGTTACTTTAATCATTTTGTATCAGTGAAGAGAAAAGTCAACAAATGGCGGTAAATGCACTTCTTGGCAATCACTGAGTGAACCGGAGTGGACATAAGGTACCAGAGAACACATAGACAGCGATGGCAGTGTGTATAGACATTTGGAGAGACAGGATTGGCAAGTTCAGTTATCGATGTAAATCGATTGTTGCTTTAGGACCCGGTATAACAGGTACACGGCTTTGTTTACGTATGTCACAGCTCATATTGACACTGCTGATTGTTGACGGCGATGTTGAGACGAATACAGAACCATATGAAAACGTCAGACAAAGGCAATAACAGTCTTTGGAAAGGGACACAATTGTCAGTCCGAAATGTAACAGGTGCGTGTGTACCTCCCGAGAAAGACGATCACACTGCATGTATTGCGATAAAATCAATCAAAGCAGATCCCTTCATAGCAAGTTTGATATGTTTACTAGCGACTTTGAGAATAAAATAGAAGACATTATGAAAAAAATCGTGAACTTAACGACATGTAACTACGTTGGAAGAAAAGGTCGATAGCTTATAATTAGAAGGTCATTCTCGTCGGAATAATTTGATATTTCATGGATAGGAGATAATGTCTGGAGAATCTTGGGAAGAATGTGAACAGAATGTCAGCGATTTAAGTGATACGTTGAATTGAGAAACTGCTAATTCTATCCATATTGAAAAAGCCCACCGTTTGTCCTACAAGACAGGTAAACGACCAACAATTGTGAAACTGGCTTTCTGCAAAGATAAAGCGTTGATACTTGATGCAGCTAGAAAAACTTTCAAAGGAAATCCAACATTCAGGGTATCAGAGGATCATACTGAACGGATCAGATGGATCAGATCCAAATTATTCCTACATATGAAGAAATTCCGTGATGACAACTTGATTGCGTTTCTAAATTATGACAAGCTGATTGCTAACGGAACTCTGTATGTGTATTATGATCAGCAGGATGATATATGCAAGGTGGGCCAACGACGTAACTGAACAACTTCACCAAATACATCATCATCCAAGTCTAAAACGAGTCGGAAATAGGACAGTGGCCGTGACATTATTGATTCATCAGAGTCAATTGATCAACACCCAAATAACAAGGCTTAAATCTAAACCTTTTGACACTGGATGTCTGTCATTTTTAGAACAATTTGATTTGTTTTGCGTGATCGAAACTGTGTGTTTAAATGCAAACCAATCACTGACATATATATTTCAGCATTATGACATTTAATAGTGATTCCAAACGAACTTGTAATCGTGGACGATGGTCTGACGGGGTAACAGTTGGTATACAATGATATATTCAGCCTACTTTGAAAACACAAGGGAAATTGCATTTTGTTTTAGATAAAACATATAACATTGCCATATCATCTGTTACTAGGGTTTATCTATGTCCACCCAGAAGGCTTGTCTGTGTGTAACCATTTAGAAGGAAATGGAATTGAACATAAACTCCTGCAGATACTGTTTGATTTTGGGGAAATCTGTCAGTTTGTTTTGTCCGGGGGTTTTAACGCAAGTACGCCTGATGAGCCAGATTATGTTATAGATGATGATGTTTCGTATTTACCAGTAATAATTCAGTTTAGTTTGTCTATCCAGTAATAATTCAGATTAGTTTGTCTATCCAAGACATACAAGCGATAGTTTTGTAAACACATATGGAAGATGTCTTTTGCAGCTATGCAAACTTTTCAATATGTATATTCTAAATGGGCGCACAAAAGGAGATACGCCCGCAAATTATACATTCATATCCCATCATGTAGTATTGTTGACTATTTCCTCATTTCAAGAGACCTTTTTCATAATGTCTCTGATTTATTGGTTTTACTTCGTACGGAATCTACGCCGCGATATAACTGGAATACTGTTAAAAGCGGCGTTAAACCCAAGTCACTCACCCACTCGTACGGAATCTGACCATTTGCCACATAAATGTATCATTAAAGATATATTACAGCCGTTTCAATCAGCACCTTCAACAGATATTTTACAACTTCTTCCCACAATAAGATATAATTAAGCTTCCTGAAAGTGAAACAACCAACGTTCGTGAGTTATTACGAACAGGTGTTTCAGGAATACAGAGGATTAGTCGAAAGTGATATAAATGCAGCTACTCGTAGATTAACGGATAATGTTTCGTATTATGCTAGTGAAACGTTTCTTCAAAACAAGAGGCGTACTTTTCGACAACAACCTTTTTGGTTTGTTAACAGTGCGAAATGCTTAAAAGAGAAAATATAGGAACTTAAATCAATACAGGAAATACAAATGTTTTGAAAATTTACAGAGATACTTAAAAGCAAAAACAAACATCTAAAAGATCTAAACACGAAGAGAAGTCTAACTGAGATAAGTGAAGATATCAATGACGCTGTGAAAAGTTATGACTGTAAAACATTTTGTGACACTGTAAAGCATTTTTTACGAAATATCAGTCATTCTTCTACTGTTGACCCGCCTGTGTTTTATATCTATTTCAAATGTCTATTAAATCAAGGATCTACAATTGAAGTTTCAGATTTTGATCGTCAAGTAAATGAATTTGTTGATGACCACAAATGTGATGCATATGATAGTAACCCACTAAATAAATATATGTTGTCATCGGAGATAACAAGGAAGAGATTACTAAGGAAATTGAAGATCTAAGAATGGGAAAGCACCATATATATGGTATTCCAGCAGAAGGTCTTGTATTGTTCCATATCTTATAAGATTCTGGATCTTGGAGTTTTCCCTGAGGCATGGAAAATTCCAGTGACACGATAGCGCATTTACTGAGTCATATAAAAACAATATTGTCAATATTTGCTTACTGGATTTACCCTTTCAGAGATGTGTTCAGCTTATCGTAGATGCCATGTTTGGTTCTTCCAGAGACTCCATCTGCGGCAAGTCCTGTGACGTCCCAGTACCCGAGTTTGATCGTGATCTCCGTCTTTGTCGGCCTCTTGACGAAGATGTAGCCTATTTCTTAAAAGTGTGGTGGACTGTTTTTATAAAAGTGAGTGAGTGAGTTGGGGTTAACGCCGCTTTTAACAGTATTTCAGCTTAATGTGGGAGGAAAGCCCTAAGTGATGCAGGTCTCAGACGTTTACCACTTCGGTGAAACCCACGAGCACGGGTATGGTGCTGACAAACCTAGACACATAATTGGGGCGAACCAGGATTCGAACCCACAACCATAGGTTTCTGGCGTGCCCAAGGGACGCAACTCTGCACAGCGAATCGCGGCGCCTTAGACGACTGGGCCACCCATGCCCCAGTTCTTTGGATTATGGATAACCCTTATATGTATTTGGTACTAATGTGAATTTAATGTAAGATATACTATTGTTTATAATTAATTATAATTGCATATTATCTCAACTTGGAGTACCATAAGGTACTCGCGCTCGTATGACATTGAAACATACCCATACGTCCTTAATTAATACAATTTAATGAAATACATATTGCTCAGAGCACTTGTTTTAATTCTTAGTTATTATTTTTACTCATGTTCGTGTTTGGAACACAATTACTGTAATGTTAGTCAATACCCGGACTAGACATTTACCTACATGGGCAACTCAGTTTGTAATTGTAAAATAACATGTACATGTAGGATTAAACTGCACTGAATGCCTGTGTATGATGACCCATTCAAGTCATCCTGATTAAATTTAACTAGGAAAGTGGTAGAACAACCACAACTACCCCCCCCCCCCCCCCCCCTCCCCCCACATTAGAATGACTTCGCTTGCCATACATAAATGTACTCGAAATTCGAATTTTACCTTCACGTGTTTTCGATGAACGCTCAGAACCATTCCTCACTTGCAAATTTACAATAAAACGTATCTCCAGCTGAATGAAGTTGCTGTTTTTTTTCAAATGGCTAAGTGAGTATTAAACATGCGATTGAACATCTGCAACCTAACTGGTTGGTTTGTTGGCTAACGCCGCACTCGGCAATATTCCAGATATATGACGGCGGGCTGTTAATAATCGCGTCTGGACCAGACAATCTAGTGATTGATATCATGAGCTGCAATCCACGCAATTGGGATCGATGACATGCATCGACCAAGTCAGCGAGCCTGATTACCCGATCCCGTTAGTCGCCTTTTACGACAAGCATAGTCGCCTTTTACGGCAAGCATGGGTTGCTGAAGACCCCGGATCTATCCCGGATCTTCAGGGGTCAAACCTAACTGGAATCGTAGGGACATAGTACAGCCAGATATGAGAGGTTCAAGATATAATATACCACCGTGTCAATCAGGATGTCCACCGGTGAAGATTCCGGGTTAGAATGCGTAGACAGATGCTCATGATGTCAGTCACTGGATTGTCTGGTCCTGACTCGATTATTTACAGACCGCCGTCATATAGCTGGAATATTGTTTAGTGCGGCGTTAACAACAAACAAAACAAACAATAATCAGGGAATGCCAGTAACTACATAACAAAGTTACATCGTCCTTCTTGACATTTCGACCAAGAGTTGAAGGGGTTTGACCTCAGCAGCTCGTTAACAACAAACAAAACAAACAATAATCAGGGAATGCCAGTAACTACATAACAAAGTTACATCGTCCTTCTTGACATTTCGACCAAGAGTTGAAGGGGTTTGACCTCAGCAACTCGCACTGTACATATAGTGTACAGTAGGTGTACTGAAGAAAGAGAGCGTGTAAACACAAGTGTCGATTTAAAACAACAACATTTGTAAACCAGAAGAGTACATTGACTTACTGGGGGTGCGTGTGTCCTCAAGTCTTTCATGCAAACAATACGATGAGGTACAAATGATTTTTATCATGTGCCCTTAGCTTGTGACGTCACAAATGACTGGTGGGCCATTTTTATTCCGTTGGCAAGGGGACCCCCCCCCCCCCCCCCCCCGATTTTAAAAAATAGAAAACAGTTCTATTTGAATCAAGTTGGGGACAAGTGATACTTGTACAAATATTTGTGGGTAATGTGGGTAATTCGTTGTAGCATGATCACTCGGGGTACAGGTTTTATACCACTCGCTCTGGTTAGGTGTTAAAACCTGACGCGGGACGTATTAAACCCCATGTACCCCTCGCGATCCTGCTACAACTCATTATAGAAGAAGAAGCAGAAGAAGAAGAAGAAAATTATTTTATTTTCGTGTCACACACTGTACAGCAGTGACAATAAAAATACACAAATAGTGTGTACAGTGTCCGGCCATTATGGCCTACGAGACACGCAGGACGTCACATACATATGAGTAAAAATGAGAAATATCACAGTACATACATATACATAAAAATGAGTTATCACCAGTTATCACCGGTTATCACCAGTTATCAGAACATTCTGATACTAAGATACATGGAACTAGGCTGGTAGAGACGAAAGACACAGTTGTCTTCGCTCATACATGTGGTGAAGAAGCGCGGCTAGGGGTCTGACCACCTTATTGTTCCGCATAAAGAACACAGTCTGATCGGCAGCGGACATCTGTATAAAGTTTGGATTTGATTGAGAAGCTAAATTCCATAAATCATAGCGTAAATCTGTATAGAGAGAACATTCAGCAAACAAGTGTATTTCATCCTCAACAGCATTGCAATTACAGAATTTACACATACGTTCAATAAGCGGTGTTTTCGGGCGGGTGAATCTTCCCAATTCTATTTCTAATGGCAGTGAGCCGCAGCGAAACTTACTTAATATACTCCGCTGACATCTGTTCATCAATAAACTGACATAGGGTTCTACTGATAAAGAATCTTTAAATAATCTGTATGTACGTAACTTATTACCATTTACCTGGCCCGTATCGTTCCAGAGTCCATGTAACCAATCAGAATGGTCTAAGGATAACAGACATACTTTAGACAAGTTAAACTCTTCAGTAGAAATATTATTTAGATCATAAATTGGTAAATGTAAACTGACAAAGTAGTTGAAAACTGTATTATTCCAGGATCTACGGAATTTTACTGACCATCTGCAAATAATACTCAGCATTCGGGATTGATCTGCAGCATGCAAACTGCGCCAGAACCGAAGAATTTCAATCTTTTGTTTTGTAAATGAGGATGTCCAGCCCATTTCACCACGGACAGCCAAATTTGGAGTCTTTCTACCGACTGCTGAGAAAAATCTACACGCTCGGTTTTGGACAGCATTTATATACAGCTAAATTCCTTCATTATAAATAGCCTGCTGGTATGTTGTGTAATGGACAAGGAGAAGTGAAGATACAAAAGATAATAAGATATCATACGTGTACACATTGAAATTTTGGAATAACAAGCAGCTGCATTATATTGAATAATATAAACCCTAATGCCATTAATCCTTTCGCTAGTAAATAATATAAGTTGTTGCAGTACCACAGGGTTTTTTATGCGTCCCGTGTTAGTTTTATATCACGAGCACCGAACGAGGGACGCATAAAAAACGTACTGCCACAACGAATTTGTCTCACCGACATGTTTTAATCTGCCCTTGTAAAAAAAGAGTTAAAACAAACAGAAAATTCATGGCAAAGAGCTGTTCAGTTGAGTCTTTTGTATGGAGGCGGGCTTGTGTTAAAGCGTTCACTCGTCACGCCGAAGACCCGGGTTCGGTACAATGTGTGAAGCCCATTTCTGGTGTCCCCGCCGTGATTTTGCTGGAACATTGCTAAAAGCGGCGTAAAGCCATACTGACTCACTCGAAGGGGGCTCTAAGTGATTTATTCTCCCGCGCAGAAATCACCGTACAGCCTCTTTTCTTCGTGGCGGAGTAATGGGATTTATTCCTCCACTATGACATTTATTTCCCTCCTAGGCGGGATACAACGTATTTTATCAAGATCACATGAACCTGTATGAACCAATCAGATATAATCATTCTGACATGGAGTTATTATGATAACATTCGTTGTATTGTTCATGATTTTTTTCCCGCGCGGATGTTTTCATCTTAGCCCCCCACTTCCGAGGTCTTTATGATGCGGCTGTAAAATCCCTTATGTTGAAATCGATATTCAGAGAAACTGGTCTGTTCTGCCAAGGGAAACAACTGATATGGTCATGTCCACTGTCTTCGTCTTTGGGATGTCACTCTGACTGTAAAATCCCTAATCTTAACAACTTCGCTTGTCTTCTCAGATAGAACATGATCCCTGTTTGACAATACATTCCTTCAGAGACTTTGATTTGACATCATTTGAAATGGTCACACTCGCTGTCCTCTTTTGCTGGCGAGGATTTTTCGGTGGAATAGTCGTTTCCAATATTTTAATTCCTCCACCATAAAAATCTTTCTGAACTGCCTTTAAAGATACACTGGGATTCCTGTTTAATTCAGAAGGAAGCTTGCTTGGAAATAAGGGCAATGCTCTCCAACGCTGTGATATATACTCCCATTTTGTTGACAACAGATTGTGTTTAGATGAATTTTATTTCGTCGCTCCAGAATTCCACACATCTTCGATTATCCAGTACATTACATATCCATTTGATTATGATAAACATACCGTGTTTTCAAAGTATAGCTAGGTTACCTGTAGATTTTACCGCGCTAAATTTAATTTGGAACGGAACGCGCAACGTGAGGCCTCAAATGTTAAATTCAGTGCGGTTAAATCTACAGCTTACGTAGCTCTACCTTGAAAACACAGTATGATTGTCGCCATTCTACCATAACAACATACAACGCCATCTCTTTGGTGTTAGCAAATACACTGAGTGAAGAGGTATGGGTTGAGTCCAGTGTTTTGAGTTGGTTGTCGATCAGAATTTGCGGAATCACAGACAACAGCCCTTAAAATATGTTATGGGGCTGTATATGCTAAAGAGGTTTACACCGTAATACTTCACTTGAACTTATGACAGGCACTGAACGCACGTAGCACGGCAACTTCGTCAGCTAACGTGAGGTGGACACCCCTAAAGAAAACTAAGCAAGCCTTGCAAAGGTTTCTTTCTACACCGTATGTCACTATTGTGACGTCACGCAAAAGATATAACGTCACAGTCGTATATAGAAAAGCGCCAAATAGCAAAGCCTTCTGTTGTCCTCCTATTTTTGTCGTGTTTTGTATGTATTGCCACACATCCTTTGTATTTTTTAGTAACCGCAACTTTGCATTCTGT